AGTGTAAAAATCATTAGCCGCCTCAAGCACAGAGATCTAATATGGATATAGGGTACTAGTGACAACCGGCCTACCCCAGGGTCACATGAATCAATACTCATCCTTGCTGTAGGAAATGTCATCATCTAGACTCAGTGAGCAAGGGCATAGATGTTTTATAAGCACATATTGTTGTGAAGGCTCTGGCAGGAAGAACACAAAGGTGGAAGATAGTAGCCCTGAACTTTCTTCCTGTACATGCCCTTGTCCAAGTCTGCTGCCCTGTCTATCCAGATGTTTCCTCCTTCTTGGCAAAATGCCAAAATAGCTTCTCTCAGTTTCTAAATCAATCATTCTGAGATCTGTGTCAGTTCTGAGCCATGGTTCTAAATAGACTATGAGTGCTATCAAATCCTCAAAGTTCTTTAATATAAAAACAGTATAATGGCATTAAGAGTTTAATTTTAAAACTTATCTTCAAATTCTTTTAAGTTTAATTTCTCTTCATTCTTTTTTGGGGAGGGGGTCTTTTTGAGACAAGGTCTCCCTGTAGCCCCAGCTGTCCTGGAACTCACTATGTAGACCAGGCTGGCCTTGAACTCACAGAGATTTGCCTGCCTCTGCCTCCTGAGTGCTGGCATTAAAGGCGTGCGCCACCACTCCTGGCAGGCGGTTTCTCTTCATTCTACTTGAGCAATCAATTACATTCACATTTCCCCCTTTCCAGCTTTCCTCACATATATTCTAATCATCAGAACTCAAACCCTGAATACTAGCAGGAAACAGAAAGCCAGTTTAGAACAGGTCAAAGAGAAAATAAAGGCCTAACATAGTCCTTGGCGAATAAATGATATAAATGCCTATATTTGTGCACCTGCTCATGCAAAGCTTAGTATTTCATTCTGATGTACTGAACTTGTACCTGTCAGTGGGCACTGGCAGCCTTATCTTACAGGAAGCAGACCTACGGAGGTTTCTTTGCAACAAAGACTAGGTCAACATTACTGACAATTGTGCTGTGGTGAGAGAGACAATACTGGCCATCTCCATATAAGGGAAAATTGGGCACACTTAGATGAAGAGTGCTATTTCCCAAATTTTGAGGGTTAAAAACTATACAGCTAGAGTCAAGCTTAAGCAAATTATGTTCTGCACTTCTGTGGGCAAAATCACCATCTAAAATATCTGAATACCTGCCTATAAAAGTAGGAAGTGAAGCATTTTAAGACAGCAATTGTCCTACAATGGGGCAAGCAATCTCTTAGGAAGTACCAATCATTTATTAGCTAACCCAAGGATACTATCTCTATCTCTGTCCATTTCACCGGTTTAGATATTTATCGTGTGCATCACAAAATATTTGCTAACATCTGTTCAATATTCTTTTTCTTTAATTTCTGTTCATATTCCGTTCTCCAAATTTTCACCCAGGTCTAAAGAAAGAACTTCAATAATTAATAGGTTGACAGGATGTCAGCTATTTAAGATTTCAGATACTGTCATCCTTTGCTTCTTACCGCCTTCTTGCATTTGGGGGAGAATAGTTAAGCTACAGTTTTTAAGTGCTGTATTTAAATCATCATTTAAAAAAAGACTGGGGTAGGCAAGATTATATAAAGAAGAGACTGTAATGGCGGAACTCAGGTCTCTGCTGGTAAAGCTAATATGAACCAGCTTCCCAGAAAAGCCAGTCCTGAGAATAAGGCCAAATCCTCTGCTCCTATAACATGGAACTACCAAAGCCTGGAGTCATTTTCTGACTTTATTCTAAAAGCTCACTTTTGAGTTGGCTGGACTGTTTCTAGTAGACTGAAGTTAGGATGCTTATTACTGAAGCAGGGGTGATTCCTTTAAGGTCTGGTTCAGACTGATGATCACTTTTATTTTATCCTGTACTTCCTAAACTCAAAATGGTTTTAATCTAGGATCACAGAGGTAGAAAACCTAGTGTTCTCCTTCCTTGGTTTGCACTATGACCAGGGGGGTGTTGTGGTTGAGAATGAATGACACTTACAAAGATGTATAAGAACAACTATGCTAGAAAATAACAAAAAAAGTTCAACTCCAATCATCAAGGAGAGTAAGTCCCATACTAAGAAGGAAAAAACCTGATGCAGCTTACTGACAGAGTGCTCTGACAACATTTATCAAAGTCTTAAAAACCACATATTCCACTAGGGAGGCAGAAGCAGGCGGATTTCTGTGAGTTCAAGGCCAGTCTGGTCTACATAGTAAGTTCCAGGACACCTGGGGCTACAGGGAGACCCTGTCTCAAAAAGACCAAAAAAAAAAAAAAAACAACAAAAAAACACATCAAAAAACCCCACATATTCTAGAAATTTAGCCAGGAAAGAGTCAGTTCTTTAATTTTTTCTGTTATTGCTGTATATTAGGTTGATAAGTCATTAACTGTTTTTCTTAGTATGTTTCTGTATTATAGATTATGATAGTTTATTATTTCTTATCTGTAATAAAAAATTAAAAATCAATAAATATAAAACATGCCTGTCCAAAATAACTTGAAGTGTTTAATATGAAATGTGGGAGCCATCTTCAGGAACCAGTTTTGTTTTCTTTTTAATTGTTTTGGAAAACTCAATATATATTGTCAGTTTTTCTAATGACTCAAGGTTTGAAGAATTTTTTTTTTTAAATCTTTTTCAGACAGGTCTCCCTGTAGCTCCAGATGGCCTGGAACTCATTATGTAGACCAGGCTGGCCTTGAACTCACAAGAGATCAGCTTGCCTCTGCTGGGGTGTGTACCACCAAACCCGGCTTGGAGAATTAATTTTTAAAAATCCCATGCCCACTTTTGCAGCTATCACTTCCATGGGATGATTTAGCAGAACTCTGAACCCCAATACCAAGTGGACCCTGGTCTGTTGTTTCCTGCCTCTAGACTTTCATGGCCTGAGTCAATACTAACATGGGAGCTAAAAGTTCCTCCTTCCAAGGCTTCCTAGAATCCTATTATCTGATGAAATATTCTTTTCCTGTTTTGTAGCAGAGCACATTATCTAAATTCTCCAGGATCATGTGGTGGTAGTCCTGGGAATAGAGAGAAGCCTTAATAGCTTTTTTGTTGTTGTTGAAACCACATAATTTTTCTAGATCTACTTAAAGTACTGTTTCAAGATGTTTTCTGAAGGGCTCATGGGGGCTGCATTTAAAACCTTCTGGCCATTGTTTCCCCAGTACTGGGATGGCTTTAATAAGGGGAAGCCAGTGCTTTCAGCTTTGGTGTTAGAAGAGCTCCTAAAATGTCTCCAAAACGATTTAGGAGAAAGTACTTGACAGAAGAGGACTTACTCCTGACCTGGAATAAACTCATTAAAACAGACATGTGCTATAACCACAGGCCAAGAAAACTGCATTTTAAAACATATTATAACTCAAAGGCAACTAAGGTTTCTAAATATGAGTAGCAGATGATATACCTGTTCAACAAGGACTACAGCCTCCTTCTCCTGGAATATTCTTGATGTTTGTTAATGGCTCGCTGTGTTCTGGGTCCCAAATACTCCCCCAGAGGCCATGTGTTGAACATTTGCTTGGCAGCCTGTCATGCTATTGGGAGATGCGGCCTGGTGGGAGGAAGTTAGGTCATTAAGGGTGCGCCCTTGAAGGAGATATTGGAACCTAGGTCCTTTTCAATCTCTCTGCTTCCTGGCTGCAGGTGAACAATTCTGTCATGTGCTTCCTGCCACGATGTCCTGCCTTACCACAGGTCCAAAAACAACGGAGTCAAGTGGTCATAGATTGAAACCTCTGAAACTGTGAGCCCAAATCAATCTTTCATCTTTTGTAATTGAGTATTTTACCTCAGTAATGGAAAGCTAATACACTTCTCTACTAGGTCTGAATTTTCAATGCACTAGGGTTTTTCATGTGTATGCAGATCATATATATGTGTTCTGGTGCATGTGTGCATGTGCATGTGGAGGCTAGAGGTTGATATTGGATGTCTTTTGTGATTTCTCTCCTGTGAGATGACTCAGCAGGTAAAGGTACTTAGGTACTTGCTGCTAAGTCTGACAACCAGAGTTCAAGCCTGGGGCTCACATGATGGAAAGAGAGAACCAATTTCCACAAGCTGTCCTCTGACCTCCACAGGCACACTGTGGCATGTGCCCACATATATACATACACATACAGAAAATAAATGTAATAAAAAATAAACTTGAGTCTGTCTATTCAGATCAAACCTGACCCCTAAATTTAAGCAGCACTAATTCAACTACCTCAGTCCCAGAAGGAGCTAACTAGGATCAGGCAACTCTTGTCTGGGTGAGGCAGGCTCCTCTGTGCCTCAGCTTAGGACACATGACACTGCTGAGCACTCTTCTTGCATGAATAAAATATTTCTATTTCCCCTTCATTTTCTAATCCTCTTTTTATTGAAAGATTTATTTTTAATTATGTATATGTGTGTGCATATGCGCACATGAGTGCAGGTGCCTGTGGAGGCCGAAGGCATCTTATCCCCTGGATGTCAGTGCTGGGAATTGGACTCAGGTCATCTTTTCTGTAAGAGCCATATAACCTCTTAACTGCTGAGCCATCTCTCTGGCCTCTCCCCCATTTTCTAATTCTTACGAGTCATCATGTTTGGATTCCTAAAATCTCTCCCAGGAACAGAACTACTGGAAGCACTTCCACAGTTAACCCCACGCACACCAGTTCTATTGAATGTATGTCTCCGAGGATAAGGCCCTAGAAACCTGCCCCACCCCATCTCTCATGCTGAGTGAGTACCATGGAGCTATGTGCCCAGCATCCCTTCTGCATTTCAGTGTAAGTGCCCCTCATAGTCTTCATGCATGATGAAATGTGGGAACTCCAGTGGAACAGATGCAAAGGAATCCAGCAAGCAGAGAGAGGCAAGATTTGAATTTGAGGGATTTTTCCTTCTTCTTTTTTACAGTCCTTTAAAAATGTTTTATTCTTTGAGAATTTCATATACGTATACAATGTATTTTGGTAACAGATGGGGAAACAAGATTTTATAAAGGTCAGTGGAGGGGATAATGAACACCTTTATTCCAACACTTTCGCATCAGCTTCACTTAGGCTGCTTGCATCAGCGTGCTGATACTGTCTTCTACCTCCGACAGCTTCTTCAGGATTTGGTTGACCTTAACCTCATCAAATTCCAGACAAAGAAATTCAGATTCCTGTAAAACATAAAAGCGTGTTTTAGAAGGACTTCTAAGATAGCTAAGGCTCGTCATCAGACACAGCCAAGCTCCAGAGGCCTAGAGGCCCAGTCCAGCAAGCCAGACTCAGGCCTTTAAACTTCAGTGATATTTTACCATGCAGAGCAAATCTACACAATGTCCTAAATGAAGCCCAAGTGTAAACAGGCAGATATATACCAGCTGTTCTCATTATGGGAGCTCTCCTTTTATCTCAATTGATCCTGTTAGATTTTAAGGTAAGTACTTAGGTAGTGTTATTTTATAGATCAGAGCTTTTAGGGACTGAAAGGGTAACCTGCATCTGAAAAATTAAACAATGGCACAGAGAGATTTTGAACTCCCAGATCTTGCTGACTCTAAAGTCAGTGTAGTCTCCAGAGTATCTTATAATAATGAAAGGACTGTGATTTGTTCTGTAAAGTTAACCTGGGAAGTAAGCTAAAGTTCCTTGGGAAACATTAGCTAGACATCTAAAAGAAAATCAGATCTTTGGGCTGGAGAGAGAGATCAGCAGTTAAGAGCACTGGCTGCTCTTGCAGAGGGCCCAGGTTCAGTCCCCAGCACCTACATGGTGGCTAACAACCATCCATAACTCCAGTTCTAGGGGATCCAATGCCCTCTTCTGGCCTCTGAGAGCACTGCACACACATGTGCACTTACATGCTGGTGAAACACTCATACGCTTAAAATTAAATTAAATTAAAAAAAAAATTTAAGATAACCAGATCTTAAAATAGCAACAGACTTTTCTCAGGCCCTTCCACATGCTGTTAGCCCTCACAAGTTCTCCCTTAAAGATATTCCTTTCAGTCCCTACTAGGATTGGTAAGTCAATCCTAAATCAGATATGTATCAAAGAATAAGGTCTTTGATGTATAGTGGCAGAAATTTCACACTCACTGGACAAATTCCAGATCTACATGGTCTTAAAAGACAAGGACAAATTATATGCATCCAAGAGTGTCAATCTTTAATATCTTTATGAACAATTATCAAACGCTGGGTGTGGTGGCACACACCTTTAATCCCAGCCCTGGAGAGGCAGAAGCAGGTGGATCTCTGCAAGAGGAGGCCAGCCTGGTCCACATAGTGACTTCCTGGGACTAGGGAAACCCTGTCAAAAATAAACAAACAAAAAAGAACAATTATCAAGTAACTTTAGATAAGTATAACTCCTTAGAGGTCATACAATCTAATCTAGAAAATACAATCTAATCTAGAAAATACAATTAAAGTTCTAGGTATGTCAAGTGCCTAACATCCCTGTGTCTGTAAGGGCAGAGTCACAAGGTTAATGCTCTTATCTGCACATTTTCCTCTCTAAATGTAAAAGTCTCCACTTTGGCATGTGGATTGTTTTTGAATTGAAGGCAACTGGGAATCAGCAGGTGTCTTCTTGGGGTTTCCTCTGTCTGATCAAAGGCAGAACTGTCTGAGAAATGAGGGCTGGAGGAGCTTTATGTGGTGAGAAGATAAAAGTCCTAACTAAAGATGATGCAGAAGGTGCTGTTGGAATGAAGGTGTCCCGCTGGCCTTTGTAGAGTACAGGAACATTACTACAGTAACACATACTATCATTATTTCCAGGGTATTGATCTTCCTACAATTTACTATCTTCTAGTTACTTCATCATTTATCATCATTTGTTAAAATAGTCTATAAAATTTCAGGCCAAACTGCTTCTCAAGATTATTTAGGGTTTGTTTTTTTTTTTCCCCTGTGAAGCCCTTTTGAATATAATATTTAAAATATCAACATCAATGAAATTTGTAAATGTTTTCTATTAATATTTTCTCACTTTAACCCACAGGAATCATACCAAGAACCTAAGGGGACAGAAGATGTGCTTTTCTTCCGTAAAGTATGACGATGGTGCTTTCTGACCCTAATCCAAAGTGGCAGGTAAAGGAGCACAACAAGCATTTTCAGAGAGGTCACCGCATCTGCTAGAAGAAAATCTAGGAGTTGATTTTGAAAATCAGCCTTGTTGTTGCTGAACTAGTGCACCAACTATACTGATGGCGCTGACCATGTATGTGCCGAGGGAAAGATGGTACCTTTTGGATGAAAAGCCTTCCACAGGAAGAAAGGCAGTTTTCCTGACTACTAGAACCCTGTTCTCAAACATGTCTTCAGGAAAAGACAGTCTCATATATGAACTTAGAAATTCTGTCAAGTTTTCGTTTAGTCCAAGAAAACAAAACCAAGTTTAAACAAGCAAAATATATTGGGGTTGGGGATGTGGCTCAGTGGTACAGTGCTTGGCAGCATTCACAAAGCCCTGAGTTCAGTCCCTAGCACTATGTAAAACTGGGTATGGTGGTACGTGCTTACAATCCCCAGGATGAGGTTCAAGGTCTTCTTTGACTACATAGCAAGTTTGAGGTCTGCACTACATGAGACTTTCTATAGAGAGACAGACAAAGTAAATAGAGGCTAGAGAGATGGCTCAGTGGTTAAGAGTTTTGGCTGCTCTAGAAGAGAAACAGGGTTTAGTTCCCAGCACCCAATGATAGCTAATAACTAACTTCAGTTCTAGGAAATCTGATGCCCTCTCCTGGCCTACATGGGCGTTGCATATATGTAGGAAAAAAACACTCATATACATAAAATAAAAATTTTAAAAATTTCTTTTGCTTTTAAAAAAATTATTTAATAACCACATACTTTATTAAAAGAAGCATTTCATTACAACAGCATCGACATATTCAATAACAATTTCCTGAGCTAAGATGCATCTCTTTCAAAATTGGCTGTAAATTTTTAGGTTTACAGTTGAATTATTACAGTTATACAATATTGTACTCAGT